ACCTGCCACCTTAGGTGTATGTGGCTGGCGCCTTAGCCGCTTGAGCCACAGGCGCCGAGCCATTTTCTCCTTTGACAGTCCTTCTGGCCTATGCTCTAAGCTTCAAAAAACTGCCAGATACTGTAAATGCAGTTAAGATGTAGTACCATTCCTCTAATGACAGAGGAAAGACAGATATGCTAGGAATAAAAATAATATAACATAAAAAACTATGTGATAAGTAGAGAGCCTATTCAAAGATGAGAAATTACATGGATGGAGATGGTAGATAAGAACACTGGGTGGCAGCTCGGTGCCTATGGCTCAGTAGCTAGGGTGTCAGCCATGTACACTGGAACTGGCGGGTCTGAATCCAGCTCAGGCCTGCCAATGACAACTACAACCAAAAAATAGCCAGGCGTTGTGGTGGGTGCCTGCAGTCCCAGCTACTTGGGAGGCTGAGGCAAGAGAAATGCTTAACTCAAGAGTTTGAGGTTGCTGTGAGCTGTGACGCCATGGCACTCTACCTAGGGCAACAGCTGAGACTGTCTCAAAAAAAAAAAAAAAACATTGGGTGGCAATAAAAATAATAAGACATTTGAACTACCTTATGTCTCTCAACACAGCATGCCCTAATGCTTCTGATGTTGTACATTTTTTGCTTGGACTAGATAAGATTCCCTATCTCATTCTATCCTCTGACTGATTTTATTTATCCTTTTAATTCATTCTGTGGTCTGCTTAGTTTTCTACTTATCCTTGGCTGAACGACCCAGGTAAATATCTTCAACTGAATGAAGATGACTAACCAAAGAATGAAATATGGGTAGTTTACACTTTGTGACGATTTTTAAAATTTTTTTGCAGTTTTTGGCCGGGGCTGGGTTTGAACCCACCATCTCCGGCATATGGGGCTGGCGCCCTACCCCTTTGAGCCACAGGTGCCGCCCTGTGATGATTTATATAGTTTAGGAAACACCCCTCTCAGGACTACAACTTCCATTCTGCAAACTGTAAAGAAAATGTGATTTTTTTTATTTTTTTTTGAGACAGAGCCTCAAGCTGTCACCCTGGGTAGAGTGCCATGGCATCACAGCTCACAGCAACCTCTCAACTCCTGGGCTCAAGCGAGTCTCCTGCCTCCACCTCCCAAGTACCGGGGACTACAGGTGCCTGCCACAACACCCGACTATTTTTTGGTTGCAGCTGTCATTGTTGTTTGATGAGCCTGGGCTGGATTCGAACCCGCCAGCTCAGGTATATGTGGCTGGCGCCTTAGCCACTTGAGCCACAGGCACTGAGCATTTTTTTTTTTTTTTTTTTTTTGAGACAGAGCCTCAAGCTATTGCCCTGGGTAAAGTGCTATGGTGTCACAGCTCACAGCAACCTCCAATTCCTGGGCTTAAACAATTTTCTTGCCTCAGCCTCCCAAGCAGCTGGGACTACAGGGGCCTGCCACAAAGCCTGGCCATTTTTTGGTTGTAATTGTCATTGTTGTTTGGCAGGCCTGGGCCAGATTCAAACCCGCTAGCTCTGCTGTATGTGGCTGGCGCCTTAGCTGCTTAAGCTATAGGTGCCAGGCCAGAAAATGTGATTTTTTAAAATTTGCTTTTTAAGGCAACAAGGAAATATCTACCTAGAATCATAACATTCATAATCTTTCATCAAATAGTTATAATCCAGAAATTTATCCTGTGACTATAACAGAATAAAATTAGTACATATGTGAAGGTATTTCTATATATATATTTACTATACATATAGAAAACTGTATATGTATTTACTATAATGTCATCCTGAATGGCAAAAAAGGAACACTTGCATACTATAGGTGAACATTTGACAGAAAGAACACGTAAAGACAAAAAATGTGACATTAAGTGGGGATATACACACAACACACACACACGTGCGCGCACGCAAAATGCTATGATGGCATTCATATCAAAATATAGATGAATATGGGTGAAAAGTGTAAAGTAATAAGCAAAACGGGAATACAATGACAGACACATAGCTAATTTTAAAAAAATCAAGTATTTTTATTATATACTTTTAAACATACAGAAAATAGAAAAAAATAGTACAGGGAACATCCATATACACACCAGCTAGTCATTAACATTTTGCCATTTATGCTTCACACATATGTTTTGCTAAACCATTTCCAAATATTTTGGAGACACTGTAACGGTTCATTCAAAAAATATTTGAGTATGCAAATTAAAACATTTTTCTAAAACAGCAGTTCTCAACCAGTGAGTCACTCCTTTGGACTGTAGTAAAGGTTTGTGGCATTAGGAAGGTTGAGAACCACTGTTCTAAAACTACAACATCCTTCTCACTGCCCATACAATTAGCAATAATTGTCTAATAGCATTTAAAATCCAGTCCATATTCACTTTTTCAATTTCCCCTACCTTAAAGTCAGATGTTTTTTTAAATAGGGTCCAATCAAAGATTCCACACTGCATTTGGTTATGTCTCTCACGTCACTTTACATCCAGAACAGTTACCCATTTGCACCTCCTTTTTCCTTCCCAACTTTGATATTTTGAAGAAACGAGGCCAAGATCTTCTACAGCATTCCACATCCTGGACCTGTCTGATCATTTCTTTAGTGGTGCCATTTAACTTGTTGCTCTATCCTCAGTATTTCCTGCAAACACGAAATTAGATCTAAAGGCTTGACTAAATTCCAGTTAAGCTTTTTTGATGAGAACACTTCATAGGTAATATATACTACATACAGCATCACAAATCAAAAAAAAGCCTCATCATCTGATTGCTAGTGATGCAAAATGTAATCAGACTCTAAGGATCTCTTTATTAGAAAAGTCTGTTTCTTCCACACAACCAACTAGCAAGTATTTGCTGAGATGACACTTGGACACCATGAGAATACTAGGGGAGATGCAGACCTCAATCTTTTATCTAATACCTTTGGCATCAAAATCTCTTTAATGAAGCTTTCACCTTTCAATTTTTTTTTTTTTTT